CAACCCTCCTATTTTGTTATTTCTCTCTTGAAAATTTGCATAATTTGTATGGCTCATCTCGTTATAAAGAAACACTTTCTGTCCATGTTCATCAAGTTGCCAGAATCTTGTATGAAGCTCATCACCTCAGACAACTGACAAAATATTAAAATCTCCTCAATCTGGCAACATGCATTACAAAAGAGTTGTTGATTTCTACACAGGTGGTGGAAGCAAGATTTGAAAGGCTGCGTTAGTAACGTCAGTAGTAGCAGACAACACCATGGTCACCAGGGTGTCCACCCCCTCATTTGTTGCCAGCCATGGTTGTACTGAAACTGTCTACTGTACACAATAAAAAAATCCTATATTTTTTGTGTTACCTGCTAAACTGTCCAAATCCTCCAATATTCTTCCAAATCTGTTGAGAAAAACATATTTAAGCAAAAGCTTATGTATTCTTATCAGAACACAACGTGAAAAATTGCTGTTTCTGAATATTACTAATTCTATTTCTAATTTTAACAGGCAAGTTACTGGGTACATGTGAATATGAATGGTCTTTTAATACCTGACACTGTTATGATAGTTGAGATATTTCTCTCTTAAAGCAGGCTGGGTACCCAGAGGAAGATGTGCCTCAATTGCACTGTCCTTCATTGTCTTTGTAGGCAGTTCATCCTGACTATTTGCAAGATACTGGCTTAGTGATGCACGCTCAGCTAATGCTTGCTGATGATCTCTGTAAAGAAATGGAGAACATTATAAAGATCATAATAAAAATAAAAAAAAAATGTGTAACAAGAATGTAAACTCTGCAATCTACCTCCAGTTGGTAGAGGCACCGACTATTTCCCTCAGCCTGTTGCGAACTGTGAAAATAAACAGGAGCAAAATTAAGCTTTAAAAATGTGCTGAGAATGTATATTTATTAAAGTGTAGTGCTAGAATAGCGAAATCTTAATCATTACAGAACATAATATTGAGAAAAGTCAACAGAAACAATGTACTGAAGAGGAACCAAGATTAAGAAGTTTGAAAATGGAAAATTAGCAGATGACAAAGTGCAAGAAAACTCATGCACATGTAGCAAAGACAACAACAAAACAACAGCAAGATTGTGTCATAGCAAATCGCAAATATTAAATGTTATTTCATTTTACCATTGCTCACAAGTAAAAATGTGTCTCCTGTGGGAACATAAAAACTGGTCAGAACTTGAAACTGATTATTTAAATGATTATTTAACCCCTTAACCCATTTAAGCCCAGCGGCAACTATAGTGATTCATAGTTGCCATTTTCCGTTTATAAGTCATTTTCTACACATTATACATGTTTACTTTCTCAATGACATGCAAGCAAACAACAAAATAAAAGATTTCAAGAAAAAAAAGAGAATTGATTTACTTTGTCACATGAGGTCTTCAACTTCCTACCCCTAATTCTAGAATGCAAAATGGAGACAAACCCTCCTAAATAAAGGCTATTTACATGTTACTAAAACTTTTTTGTTCAAAAATGTATATCAACCTAATCATGAAGGTCTATACACTCATCCAAATAAAACTAATCTTTTAGTCTTTTTTTATAAACTTTGTTAAATTTAAAGATTTTTGCTTTCATAATACCCCATCTAAACATAACTTTACAATTTAACTGATATCTTTACTTTACCATTTTTGATACACAGTTTAATCCTCAGAGTAAAACAAAGAGTTCTACAAAGAGTTCAAAAAACACTGGAGCAGAGTTAAAGTGCTGATTGAAGAAAGAATAATGAACTCCTGCAGTTAAAAAGCAGAATCACTTAAGAAAAACACAAAACTACAACAGAATTCATCCACAACCTTAGTCCCTGCTGTTCACACAAACATGGGTTAAGTCTAAATTGCAGCTTTTTTTCTACACAAAAACACAGTATCAGGTCACTGGCACCCAAATTTTTGAATACTATTGTCAGGATGAAGATTTTAAAAAGCACCAGTGTCTGTGTTTTTTAGAAAACTGAAAAAAAAAAACATTTTTGTTTACAAAATACCTGTGTGCAACGGAAACTCAAATGTCTCAAAATCTCAGTTCATCAGGATCATTAAACAACTCCGCAAACAAAATCAGCAGCTTTACTTATTACTAAGCTGTTTGACTATTTCTGTCAATGTCTATAAAAGTCTGTAGTGAGATTTACTGAAAATGTTTTGGTTATTTGTTACCATTGTGGTATGTATTTACTTGTGTGTATTTACACCAGTTTTTATTTTACTTTTTGAATTTTTAATGTTTTTTTTCTTTGACTGCTGTAACTCTGCAGTGTGGGACCAAAAACACTCTACTCTTGGAATTTTGCTGTGAAAGGAATATATAAATATGTGTATTATTAATAATTATAATTTTTTTTTCAATATTTGTAATATTGTCTAACAATTTTTAATTTATCTTTTTGACACACAGTAGTCTGTTGGGGAAACTAGTGTTTGTTTTATTACTTTAAGACACATAGATTAGTTTTTTTGTGTTTTCATTTTATGAAATTATGTGATAGATAATTTTCAGGGGCTTCATATCAAATGATTTTCTAATTTTAAATATGATAAATGCATTTATTGGTATGAATTGATCTGTTAAAAGCAGTTGTTTTGGGTTAAAATGCCAAATGTTCTCCTTTTATTCAAATTTTACATTTTACATTAGGGTTATTACAACATATTTGCCCACATATTAAAATAAGATTTTCTTTAAAAAATCTAAAATCCTAGGGAAAAATAAATTCAAAGCAGGATCATATAGGACACCATGGACAACATGCCTGGAACAATTTTTTAAAAATTTGGCACAAATGGGTTTTAATTGTTGGGTTCACACTTGATTTTGATAAATGCCATAAGCATGTAACATATAGCTTGTCAGAATATCTTCAGGTTTAAGCAAACGTCCCATCTGTGGGAATTAAAAAAAAACTGTATGTTTTTAGCTCAAAGACAAAAATGTGGTTTCAAGCATCAAAACATGTTTTTATTGATTGCTTTCAAACATCTCAATGTGTCTGGTCTAATTTATTTTAAATAGTAGCGGTTTATGTAAAATCACAAATAATTTTACTTTTCACAATTTTAGTATTTCACACTACCTTTTACCCAGGCATCAATATTTTTCTGATTGTCTCTGTCAGTCTTATACTTAATAAATCATCAATCACGTGCGTAAAAATTTCAAATTGTAAGATAAAAACATTGTCATTTAGAGCATGTTTTAGCATAACATAACAAAATGATGCCATTTTACATTTACATACATTTTTTGAAAAGACCATGTTAATACACCTGAAGAGTTAAGAATCATTAAAGGAGAAAAAACCCTAATTTCATTTGTTTATTTTCTTACGGCTTAGTGCCTTTATTCATCAGTGGTCGCATAATGAACCGCCAACTTATCCAGCATATGTTTTACACAACAGATGCTTATCCAGCATATGTTTTACACAACAGATGCCCTTCCAGTTCTAACTCAGTACTGGAAAACACCCATACACACACATTTACACACATACACTACGGCCAATTAGTGACATTTAGTTTATCCAATTCACCTTCACCTACATGCCTTTGGGGTGCAAGAGTATGGATGTTTCCCAGTGTTTGGTTGCAGCTAGAAGGGCATCTGAATGAATGAATGAACATTTTACTCTAGCCCACAATAATTCTAAAGAAACTTTTTCAATAGCTGTGTATTAATGCATGTATATGTATTTATATATGCGTATGTGTAAAACTTGTTCAGGCAACGCAGTGGCGCAGTAGGTAGTGCTGTCGCCTCACAGCAAGCAAGCTTGCTGGTTCGAGCCTCGGCTGGGTCAGTTGGCGTTTCTGTGTGGAGTTTGCATGTTCTCCCTGCGTTCGCATGGGTTTCCTCCGGGTGCTCCGGTTTCCCCCACAGTCCACAGACATGCGGTACAGGTGAATTGGGTAGGCTAAATTGTCCGTAGTGTATGAGTGTGAATGAGTGTGTGTGGATGTTTCCCAAAGATGGGTTGCGGCTGGAAGGGCATCCGCTGCGTAAAAACATGCTGCATAAGTTGGTGGTTCATTCCACTGTGGCGACCTCAGATCAATAAAGGGACTAAGCCGAAAAGAAAATGAACGAATGAATAACTTATTCATTTTTATATATATATAAAAATACCATCTGCCATATCAGGTGCTTTCCCTTGTCTACACATTTGCCCCATAGAAAATCCTCTACACATCAGGGACGATGCAGACTTCAGGACCCTATAAAGAATAAAAAACGTGTAAATTCGTGTCTATGGGGACATTACAAAACTACTGATAGCCACGTAATAAAATTACAATAAAAAGATGAACAAAATGAGACAGAACTAGTCTGTAACTCTTCATTCATGACTCACTCACAAATGATGTACACAACAAAAGCGGGACGCAAGACATAATTGTGAAACTCACCGCGGAGAAAGCATCTTCCTTGTTCTTGGCTCACCACTTTATTGTATAATAACACGGATTTTTGCTGATATAAACAACCGCACGCTTCTTGCAGAGATGTCAGCCTTCTGGGCAGTGATTCGCATTTCCTGAAACGTACAGTGGTGGGTGCGGCTTAACTACCGCACTAACCATAACAAAAGCGCATCTTTAAGGAATTTTCCTTCACTTAACGGTTCAACCTTTACCGTAAGTACGACATTGTTTTGAATGTTTTCAGTGTGATAAGCGGGACATATAAAGTTTTGAGAAACGCTCTTCAAACCGCGTTTGACATGAACTTTAATCTTTTCTGCATCATTATGAAGGAAATGTCGTTCAAACTAACGTATATTCACCAAGAGCAACAACATTCCTACAGTATTTTGATCTTACTTATACATATTCATCAACAAGGGCTGTGCGTCATGACGAACCTCAAATGGACACCTCCTATTGGTTCGCGAAAGGAAAAAAACGTTATTATGGTGATTAAACCCCTCCCCGCCGGCAAATATATGCTCGACATTGATAAACAAAGGACATTTACTGAAGCCAGGTGAAATCCGCCGGGTCAGTTGCTGCATGCGAGTCCCACACAGGAGAAGCCCAAACTTGACAGCGCAGGGTAAAACCCGGGACAGCGAATGAAGAAACACCTTTTGCTTCACTTCACATATAGAGGACTAGTGAGAAAAGGGAAAAAGAGTAAAAGAAGAAAATGGCCAATTTTAATTTGCGTAAAGCGGAGCCCAAAGACGTGCCTGACATATTGCGACTCATAAAGGTAGACTTGTACGATTTATATATATATATATTCGGACTACAGAATATTCTGTCGAAACTTCTCTAACAAGTGCATAAATATTCCCGTTTTGATGTCCTCTCCTAAGTACTAATTTAAAAAGTTATTGTCACACTTATTTTGATTTATTATGTTCAAATGGTTACAAAATATCCAAATATGCCCTTCTGTGACAACAACCCCTATAGGCCAACCGCCTACAGGACTTGGTGTTCGTCCAACAGAGTTCTGAAAGCATCTTTTCTTTACTAACTTCTGCAGGAACTCGCGAAGTATGAAGAAATGGAAGACCAAGTTCTTATAACTGAGAAAGGTGAGGTCCGTCAGCGTGTCTGATGTGATATCTGATCAATATTTTGCCCACAGTTACAACAATAGTTTTGTGTTTAGATCTGCTCGAGGACGGTTTCGGAGAGCACCCGTTTTACCACTGTGTGGTCGCAGACGTGTCAGCCGAGCATCAGAAAGTCGAAGGTAAAACACTACTTTAACCTGTTGAATATCCAAATAGTTCGTTTTTTTGGGGGGTTCACTAGAAGAAGTTTGTTATAAATAGCTTATGTTTTAGCTAAATGTTTTAAAATACGTATTTTACTAAAATACTTATTTTTACTTACAGTACTTTAAAAAAATTGTATGCATGTGAATGTCTTTTTTTTGCCAAAATAATTAATAAAAACTGTAATCCACTAGCTTAAAGGGGTAGTTAACCCAAAACAGAAAGGTCTGTCATTATATACTCACCTTTCACTTGTCAAAAAAAAAAAAAAAAAAATACAAACAAATAAAAAAATAAATACATTTAAATAACCTGGCTTTAAGGGATAGTTCACCCAAAACATAAACTTGTCAATATTTACTAACCCTTCACTTGTTAAAAACTTGTTTCAGTTTCTTTCTGCTGAACACAAAAGCTGTAACTATTGACCTCCATAGTATTTGTTTGTTCTACAATATAAGTCAGACGGTTACCAGTTTCCAGCTTTCTTTAAAATGTCTTTTTAACTTAGCAGGAGAAAAAAAAGTGTATGCAACTTGATGTGTAAATTTAAATGTTTGGTTACACAATCCCTTTAATAGGACTACCAAATATAATACGTGTCAGATGCACATTAACCCATGTGTGCTGTTGGGGATGTTTTCATTCACTCTGGGGTGATTTTGAGTCTTAATTTGGCCACAACTTTCTCTGCGTTTCAGCAAATGGAATGATTTTTGGTGACATCTTATTTAGACACATATTTTGGGAAAATGCTTTAAAATATTTTCAAAAATTCAATAATACACTCTGGCCAAATGTACTACCCTTTTGTTATGTTCTTGGCTTTTTGCCGAATTGACTCTCATTATAAGGACATTTTGTAATCATGCATTTTTGATTGTTGGTGGTTTTCCCTGTTGGGAAGAGGTAAATGTACAAATTTTTACTGTTGATCATCAGTTGCAGTGCAAAAAAAACTTATTTTCTGGACAAAAGTTATATCGTTGTATGAAGTATAGTGTGTGTGTGTGTGTGTGTGTGTGTGTGTGTGTGTGTGTGTGTGTGAAAGAGACCTTTGCGCACTTACCTGTATGTTTGAGAAAATACAAAAATAAGCAGCTGAGTTCTCGAAACATATAGTAGTACTTATATCAAGTGTATTTATGCACGCACACTATAATCTGCTGTTTTCCTACATAGAAAAGTCAGAAACTTTTTTGCACAGGCCTATCTAAAGAGTTCCTTCAACTGATGATCAACAGTAAAAATATAAAGATTTATCTCATCCAAACAGGGGAAAACACCAACGATCAAGAATGCACGATTATTTGGTGCCATGGCTTTGCAATAAAAATTTTTTTCGTTAAAATGGAAGTCAATGGGGCAAAAACAGCCACCAACATAACCAAAGGGTAGTCAATTTGAACAGTACACAAGTGTAATTACACTTAATATGTGTAGTTTTAGAACTTTTCTCTTATTTAAAAAAACGCACTTTACACCTGAAACATCCGTGTTGTTTTCTGCAAGTCCAAATTAATCAAATGACACAACTTTTTAAATAATAAAACTTCAGTCACATTGTTCTGCATTTTAAACATATTGGATAAATATTTGTCACACTTTATTTTGCAGTGTAACTACATTTAAAGTCCCCAGGAAATCAAAACTAATCATAGGATTTTGTTAGCTCACATTGCCAGTTTTGTGGTGAACAATTTATCTGTGCATGTCATTAAGAAAAAAATGTTTGCCCTTCTGATCTTTAATGAAAATCTGAAAATGCACTTCCTGTTTGTTTACAGTTAAATTATCATATTACATTACTTAGAGGTAATGGGCGTGGCTAACATATTTAATCAGGCTGGTTCAACTGTCAGTTTTGACAACAAACAAATGGTGAGGAGGAGTCTGTTAAGTTGTAATAACTCTTCTAAAAACCCTTTACTACATCCATTTAGCCCGCGATAAAAACAAAACAAAACAAGCAATGCCCACTGTTTGCTCATTTACAATTCGGTTTCTCTAGGAACTGTGTCACAATACTAAAAATAATGATCACAGCTTCCGGTATTTTGGGACTAAGTACCAAGTAATATTAATTAACTAATCAATGTCCTTTCTAGATGGTTAGCGCTAGGTATAGTGTTTTCATATAATTATGTATAATTTATTGTTATTACTATAGCAAGTACATAGTGTAAAAGGTGTTAACCAAATATTTGTATCATGAATATTTGTGCATGATCAAGTAATACAACTGTGTTCACCTATAGGTTATTCTGTGATTGGATTTGCAATGTACTACTTCACCTATGACCCGTGGATTGGCAAGTTACTGTACCTTGAAGACTTTTACGTCATGAAAGAGTACAGAGGTGAGGGTTGTGTTCAAATACATCCCTTACAATACTGTAGCCATTTCCTGAAGTCTCTAATATCATGCTTCACAGGTTTTGGAATTGGATCTGAAATCCTGAAACACCTCAGTGATGTGAGTTCTCTTTCACTTATAGTTTTAAGACACTAATCTATACCAAACCTGTTAACCGCAAACATAGTATAGGGGTCAAAAAAAGAGACGTCAGCTTAGTTTCTGCAGCAAAGAACATCTATACTTCTTTCATAATCAGTTGAGGTCAGAAATATTAGAGAATTCTGAGAGAAATGTGTTTAAAAAAAACTCTTCTAAACATAATAGTTTTAATAAATCATTTTAAATAACTGATTTATTTTATCTTTGCCATGATGACAGTAGATCAGTAAATAATATTTTACTAGATATTTTTCAAGACACTTCTATACAGCTTAAAGTGACATTTAAAGGCTTAACTAGGTTAACTTGACGGGATAGGGTAATTAGGCAAGTTATTTCATGTTTTTTTCTGAAGACAATGGAAAAAGGGGCTAATAATTTTGACCCTAAAATGGTTTTCAAAAAATTAAAAACTTCTTTTATTTTAGCCGAAATAAAACAAATAAGACTTTCTCCAGAAGAAACAATATTATCAGACATGCTGTGAAAATTTCCTTGCTCTATTAAACATAATTTGGGAAATATTTAAAAATTTTTAAGAATTCTGACTTCACTGTAGATAGAGTATTATATACGTGCAATATGTATTTTGTTGCATAAACAAAAATGTCTTATTAATAAGCTACTGTTACACCAAATGACATTTAGAGCACATTAATCATAGTTTGCTATTAAAAGTGGACTATTATAGTGAATACTAGTTTGATGGATTTCTTATATATTTCTTATATGACCCAATTAATTTTGTATTGTCTTTAGATGTATTATTACCTCGCATTATCTTGAACAGCCGTTTTCTTTTGCAGACGGCAGTGAAGAATCGTTGCAGCAGCATGCATTTCATCGTGGCTGAATCCAACAAGACGTCCATCGACTTTTACAAGCGTCGCGGGGCTTCAGACCTCTCGCTGCAGGAGGGTTGGCGACTTTTCAGGATCGATAAAGAGAATCTTCTGAAAATGTCTGCTGAAGAGTGAGCTGGCCGACGGTCCAGTGTTCAGGGAGAACTAAAGACAGCTCACAATTTCTCAGTTTGTAGATCTTTAATTCAATATTTTAGATACTCTGTGTTATTGATTATATTAACAAACAGTAATGTACTCTAGAAGAAGTTTCTGTAGTACTTGTGTCATATTCTGTAGTGTATATGTAAGATTAGCTTATCAATCAGCTTTTTTGTATCCAATTCAATGTATTAAAAATCTAAACAAATAAATATTAAGAATTATATTTAAGTAATACCTTCAGGCTTTCCTTCTAATACAAATGTGAAATTCACAGTGGTAAAATTGGGACTGCTGAATGCACAGAATGGATCCTGGACGGTGCTGTAATTTGCAAAATGTCTCTTTGTTTATGCACAGACCAAATTCATGGTTTGTGAAATCGTAAGTTACTATAAAACTTATAAATTGGATCTTTGTTTAGTGACATTGAAAACGCTGGAGAAAGTGAAGCGAGCACCCATCTAGAAAGCTCTGGAAATGGATGTATAAGTAAATAAATATTCAGCAACATTCAGATTCGTACAGTACAAGTCATGCAGGTGATTCTGTCTTTCAGCTTGGTCCAAATGGTTGCTATTATAATGTGCATTTATATATAAAAGTACATTTATATAATTCACAAAACATCGCTGAATACAATTACAGTGAACACTGCCAACATTGTAATAGAGTAATAAATACCACCATACTGATCAGTACACCGATAAGAGAAGAGAATCCAGGTGCGAAGCAGGAACTCTTCATAAAATGAGCTGCTTTGTCTCAACTTGATTTTTGGCTGTCTGATTTCTGTGTCTTGTCAGCCTGTGAAGAAAACAGATAAAAGGTTATGAAGTGTTTATATCACAACTTCTATGATGCTTTTATGAGACCACTATTAGGTTACTCATTCTCAAATCAACCAAGATGTATTTGTACAGTATGTGACTTTTTTTTCAGTAGAAAGTTTTCAGCTAATACTGTTGTCCTTTAGGATTTATTAAATGCAAAACTATTTGTTTATTGACTCTCAAAGTGTTGACTCTTTTAGCTGAAATCTTCTTTGATTTACTACTGTAGAAAAAAGTTCACCTACATCTCAGATGGCCTGAGGAAACTTCATATTTTATTTCAGTTTTGGGTGAGCTATTCCTTTAATGTTAAATATATGTGCTGTCAAAATGATCTGACAGTTTTGGATTTGGACTCACTAAAATTTTGGATAGTCTGTTTTATTTATGTCAAAAAGTGTTTTTCTTTAGAACTTTCTATTAATCAAAACAGTATTAATCGAGCAATCAGCGGTGACAAGAAAAGCTTCTCACCAAAGTGCATATTTTTGAACATTAAAGCATTTTGTGTTTTACTATATTGTTTATCTTCGAAGTACTCACTTTATTCATTCATTTTCATTTTGGCTTAATCCGGGGTCACCACAGTGGAATGAACCACCAACTTATCTAACATATTTTATGCAGCGGATGCCCTTCCAGCTGCAACCCATCACTGGGAAACACCCTCATTTACACACATACACTACAGACAATTTAGCATACCCAATTCACCTATACAGCATGTCTTTGGACTTGAGAAAACCCACGTGATCACAAAGAGAACATGCAAACTCCACACAGAAACGCCAACTGACCCAGGCGAGGCTTGAACCAGCGACCTTCTTGTTGCAGGGCAACAGCACTACCCACTATGCCACCGCGTCACCCAGTACTCACTTTATAATAAAGCTAAAATGTCCTATTTGACCCTGAATGTAAAGGATTAAAAGAGTTTTATATCTGTTGTCTAGAAGTTGAGATTTATAGTGAATGCAAGTAGTATTTTTGTTACGTAATTAACTTACTAAGGAATAAAATTACTTTTTAGACTAAATAATTTAAAAAGTAACTAAAATACAATTGCACATCTATGATGCCAGTCTCCCGTTTCACCAAATCCCAAAGATGCTCTTCTGGATTGAGCTCTGGTGACTGTGAAGGCCATTTGAGTACTGTGAACTCATTGTCGTGTTCAAGAAACCAGTCTGAGATGATTAGCGCTTTATGACAGGGTGTGTTATCCTGCTGGAAGTAGGATCAGAAAATGGGTGCACTGTGGTCATAAAGGGATGGACATGGTCAGTAACAATACTCAGGTAGGTTGTGCCATTGACACAATGCTCAACTGGTACTAATGGGTCCAAGTGTGGCAAAAAAATATCCCCTCCACATTACACCAGCCTGAACCGCTGATACAAGATAGGATGGATCCATGCTTTCATGTTGTTGACGCCAAATTTTGACCCTACCATCTGAATGTTGCAGCAGAAATCAAGACTCATCAGACCAGGCAACATTTTTCCAATCTTCTATTGTCCAAGTTTGGTGAGCCTGTGCAAATTGTAGCCTCAGTTCCTGTTCTTAGCTGACAGGAGTGGCACCTGATGTGGTTTTCTAATGCTGTGGCCCATCCACCTCAAGGTTGGAAGTGTTGTGTGTTCAGAAATGCTCTTCTGCAGACCTCGGTTGTAACGAGTTGTTTGAGTTACTGTTGCCTTTCTATCAGCTCAAACCAGTCTGGCCATTCTCCTCTGGCCTCTGGCATCAACAAAGCATTTGCGTCCACATAACTGCAGCTCACTGAATATTTTCTCTTTTTTGGACCATTCTCTGTAAACCCTAGAGATGGTTGTGTGTGAAAATCCCAGTAGATCAGCAGTTTCTGAAATACTCAGACCAGCCCATCTGGCATAAGCAATCATGCCATTAAAGTCTCGGTTTGAACTGCAGCAGATCATCTTGACCATGTCTACATTGGTTTACATTGTGTTAACGAGCAGTTGGGACAGATATATCTGATAAAGTATCTGTGTGTATGTGTGTGTGATTATGTATATACATATATTAAAAATGTACGATCATCCTTGGTGAACATACAACACTAAACACATACAAACACACACACAAAAAAAATAAATAAAACTAATTTAGAAGAAACTCTTGAATACTGCTGTATATCTGAGAAGTTTTCTATGGGGTTTGTTATAATAAATTAGGCTTTAATTCCTTATTAGCCATATTACAGGAAAAATGATGCATTTCATTCTTTAATATCCCGTTCTTTTTATATTTTATATCCATCTTCAAAAAAGACCCAACCTTTTTGATTTAAACCTTATTTTAAACCTACATTCGCATTGTATTCACTCTGCCTCAGAACATATAAAAAAAGAAATCTAGTACAAAACTGTGCCAAAATATCAGATTTCTCCTCACTTTGTCCTTGGAAGAAGATTTTCCTCTCAGCAGCTCCTCCAAAACAGCTCGCCCCTCTGAACCCCACGAGTACATGTAGTCCTTTGTGGTCTATTTAAAAAACAATCAATTCAAATGACAAATAATTAGTGGCATATATCAATCGTGTGCATTTTTAATAAGTTTAAAACAATAAAGCACATTAATGTTCGTTTCCAGTGCTTTTGGAGCGAGGCAGGGAGTAGTCTATTATTCACTTTAATTGAGTGAGCTTATCCGTGGAAAAATTCTGAAAATATCCCTGCACTTTGTACTTTTCCATTAATGGATGGTCACACAGGAAGAAAAGAGGAAGGAACAGTGACTATCTGAACACACAATTCACAGGCTGAATTTCCTGCAGATTAGCGCAGTTCAAATCCCAGCAACACTCATTTATTTAACAGCAACTATAAATAACTATATCTCAATTAAATACAATTCGGAGATGCATATGTTACACAAAACAGAACTTAAAAACTTAGAAACATAATTACCTTTATAGATGACAATTAAAAAGCATCCAAAAAACTAGTCATTATTAAATTACCAACAGCCAATATAACTCAGCAACACAGTCTTAAACAGCAGAACGTCTGACTATTTGTATTTTAGTGTATATACAAATTTGAATATGCAAATTGGCTGTAGGATGACATATAGATATAAATCACTGAGCAGTTGCATACGGGACAAAAGAATGCTACAATGTTCATCAAGCCAATTGCAATTGTTATAGAAGATCAACTATTTACAAAAGTGTTTAGTGCACTTCAATAGTAATAAGGATGAGGTTTGGAATAGTTTATTTATTTCAAACATTTTTTGAGTGTTTTGCTGTTCTGTTAATAATAAACTTCACTTTTTCCTTGGTCTAATATATTGTGTTTTAATAAATGGCTTTTCCCCCAGGAAATAAAAAGGGTGTCCCTCTATGATAATCCCCTTTTCCATATTTTCTTGGGAGCCCCAGACATGAGTAAAATAGTTGATGCTGCATCACTGAAAACATCAAGTACTGCTGTCTGTGCTGGACGTCCTGCTGAGAGACAACAACATACTTTGTCCATCTGAGGAGCAGAAGAAGAGTAAACTTGCCCTGGCAGCAGAGGCGGCGTGTTGTGGGTAAAACACAGAGGCACAGAGAGCCATCAGCCCAGTGGGAAATATCAGCCTTTTGACCGTGCTGCCTGTCCAGATAAAACACCACAATAAGAAGCAAAACTCTTGTTAATAACACAGAAAAGACATTAGATTAAAGACCTCTGGCGATTAGTAAGAATCATACATTTTGCAAAAAAAAGGCCCAGGATTCCAGAAAACCCAATGACGCCTACACTGGGGTAAAACTCAGATGGAGGGTCTTTCAAAAATGTAAATATATCTGGAGGATATAAGAAAAGCAACAAGGCTTTATGTTAGCACATAAACAGCCGTATTTGGTCAAAAAAATAAAATAAGATTGTTGCATTAACATGAATACAATACTATTAAAATAAGACATTTACCGTATGAGAGAAAGTGTAAACATTAATAAGAATAAATATATTAAAATTTTACATTCAATAGAAAAATGGGTTTAATTAGTTAAAATAAATAAATTGAATTAAAGAAATATAGACAAATAAATTGTTTTATTACAACTATAGAACACAAGGTAGTTTGTGGAGAGGAAATTTGTTTGGATGTAACATGGTCTGTAATTTTTAAGAACTTAAAAACAAATAAATAATAAAAATAAATATATTTATTTATTTACAATTATATATATATATATATATATATATATATATATATATATATATATATATATATATATATATATATATATACACACACACACACACCGGCCACTTTATTAGGTACACCTGCCCAACTACTCGTTTATCAGCAAATCACATGGCAGCAACTCAATGCACTTAGGTATGTAGACATGGTCAAGGCGATCTGCAGCAGTTCAAA